CCCCAGAGAAGCCTTAAAACCGAGTTTGGACCATGCCAGGATGAAGGTCAGACCTGCCTGGCTACCCCTGCCCTCCGCGTCACCCCCAGGCTTCCTTCCCTGAGGGCTGAACAGAAACCAGCCCTTTAAAAAGACTCCATCCCTGACGCCCGTCACGTGCCTGAAGCTGCTCTCCCTTTTATGGTTTCAACCCAACAAGCGATCAGCATTCCTTCCTCCTAAGAGACCCCAACCGTGGCATGCATCTGGCTGGTCTATGGAAGCTGCACATGGAGGCCTTCATGTCCTCGGCTTCACCTTTTGATACATAAGGCCTGACTGTAATCCATGTAAATGCTCAGTCTCCATGCCCCCAGTGAACATGGGATGCACTGTGCACACGTTAGCTGCCCGTGCCCCCTCTTCATGAATATTCATGGCTCCTCCTGTAACCTGCTGAATATGTATACCTAGCCACCCGCTCAGCATAAATCCCTGTGCCCTTTCCCTCTCACTGGAAGTGCCTGTTTCTGGCTTCTGGCCGGAGGCTCTGCTGCCCAGCTGGTGAGGACAGCCGCCTGCAGGGTGCAGCTCCTTAGGAGCAAGGCTCTCCTTTCCAAATTCTGAGCCTCGTCATGCTTCTGCTGCCGCCACCAACCCCGTAAGAGCTGTGGATAAGGGCTGTTCTCTTATTGACCCATGACATATGTGGGCTTCCAACATCTCCGTGCACACACTTGTTTACGTGTCTGCCTTTAGGTTTAGAGTCCTCAAAATTTTTCATGAAATCACAGAATTTATTTGGTTATTATAATGAGTTATCTCGCTATAGGCTTATATTTTAAGTCAGCTTTGTTTTTTGTAAAGGTTTTATTTTTCTGACTCCCTTGCCAGATGGACTGCCTTCCTAGGATAAATTTCTGGGAGTTTGATCAGTGAGCCAAAGGGAAAGAGTTTCTGTTTGTTAGTTCACAGATAACCACTGCTCTCCTGCCTTCTAAAGGGCTGGACTCATTCACGCTGCCTACCAGGGAGTGTATGTATACGAGTTTTATCATGTTTGGTCTTTATTTTTGAAACTAAAACTGTTGTTCTTAAGCAACCTTCAATACTAATCTTAAAAACAGGACTTTGGTCCAAACTTAGGCTGTGATGAGAGCATCAGTGGACCTCTCACCCTGTCGCGGCTCGGATACTTCTCCTGAGCCCAGCACGACGGGGCCTCTGGTCGCACACAAATCATTTTGGCAGGAGAGCCCTCTGCAAGTTGTATGCTTGCCAGCTCTCCACCTCACCTGTTGGCATGTCCCTGGTGGCAGTTCTTCCAGCCAAGAGCCTCGTCCACCCACCTGGACCCACCTGAAATGTTTAATGTGCCTGACAAAGGCAGGGTCCTGCACTGGGGCACCACAGACAAGCAGGGGCAGCCCCTTCCCACCTCCCCACCTCCTTACTCCAGGGCTCTCTTCACCTATGGGCAAAGGCCCCCTCTGTCCCACCCTCTTCTGGGTCCTGTCCGGGAGTGTAGAACTGGGTGGCTGGTGAGGCAGGCAGGGAGCCCACATCTTCACCAGACCCCACGGAGAAGGTGTGTGGCCAAGTCGGGCCATCACGGCTGATGCGCTCCTGCTATTGATTTGGTCAAAGTCTGCACTGAATGTCCAGGCTCCTCCTGGCAATCCCCAAGCACCTGGGTTAGAGCCGTGCACGGGAGCAGCACCTCTTTCAACAGACAGGAAACGCCGGGGGGAGTCGGGGGGTGCACCTGGTCTGGAACACATTTGCCACGCGTCTCAGCTGTGCCCACTGCCTGTTCCCCGTGATAACTCTGAGCATCAGCACACCCCCCCCATCCCAGGCAACACACATCACACAGCGACTCAGTATTCACGGGGTGGATGCGTGACCGCAGCTTCATAGGCTTTTAAGGGACTTCTGGGATCGACATGTTCTTAGCCACAGAACCCTTTCTTGGATCGGTCAAGTGGCACCATGAGAGGGAGGGGTGAAGGCACGATGGGGGAGGAGGGGTGTGGAGACATGAGGGATGAACAAGAGGGTCCAACACCTGCCTAATCCAAGTGCTGTGGAGGAGTCAGGACCACAGTGGTAACCTGAGTGGGAAGTCAGGACCAAGGGCAAGGAGTCAGGTCCACGGCAGTGGTGACGGGAGTGGGAGTCAGGGCCACGGCGGTGGTAACGGGAGTGGGGAGTCAGGGCCACGGCGGTGGTAACAGGAGTGGGAGTCAGGGCCACGGTGGTGGTAACAGAAGTGGGAGTCAGGGCCACGGCGGTGGTAACGGGAGTGGGAGTCAGGG